TAGTAAATTATATCTCTTTTGCTCCAGAATAGGAACTGCAAATACTCTATAAACCTACACACTAAGTCAAAAAACCAGAAATATTGTTTATTCACTCTAATTACGTTATAAATGTTAGCATTATATGTAACCAAATTTAAAATTTTTGTATTTTTGCATCGATCAACGAAGTACACAGGAAGAGCTATAATCAAAATTTAATACATAAATATATTTACTTACAAATTATGACGAATCTATCAATAATAACTAAACTATATGTGTATTATGTAGTAGCACCGAACCACCAAGAAAAACAAGTATGATACAACAGGAGATTACAAGTTGGTTTTCAATTTTTGAATTTATTTCCGAGTTGTCTATAGATAATCTATGAATTGGTGAAATTTCATAATGATAATATAATTACATTAAATTTAATTTTCAAATTATTATGATATATTCAACTAACGAAAATTCCCTTCCCATTTTACCCAGACCTATATAACTGTCTAGAATACCTAAGTACCTATATAGTTTATAAATGTTTCTAAACTATTTATACATAATAGTTATTATACATACTATAGGTATACGTATTTGTCTGGCTAAAAAAATAATAATATTAATAAAATAGATATAAGATAATATTTTTACCCTTTATCAATAATTAATTAATTGTATATAAATTTAAAAAAATTAATGTGGTATAAATTTACATCATTCATTTTTTACAAATTTTAAGTTCGAAATTAGGCCGTCATTTATTTTTAATGATTTTGCTGGTAATAATAAAATTAAATAACTATTAAATATTCAGATTATAATAATATAATAATAGCTTTTTAAAAATTTGCATAAATATATTTTCAAGTCTCATATGATTTTCTATTTAAAATCAAATGCTTATGTATAAATAGTACTGTTCTTATCGGACAGTGAGAAAAAAAAACAAATGTAAATTAATTTTTATCTTTAAAACCATAAATCATAAAAAGCTAATGAAACAATTTAAGGTAACTTTTAAAAGCTTCATCGACAAGCATGGTTTTTATTTTGACGAATAAGTATCTTCAAACTATGTAGATTTGTAATTATTACAATTTTTTTTTATGATAATTTATGAATTTAAAATTCTCTTTACGATTTATTATTTATTGTAATTATTTAACGCTTTATGTAGTTCTAATTATATTGTAAACAATTTAGGCAACTTATTTGATCGACTAAAGGAAGTATTTTGTTTTACTCTAAAAATATCATAAGCTGTAAACTATTCAATATCACCTGATAACTAATTACCTAATGCAGTACTCTTGAGTCTTGAATAATTAATCTTGAAGGATGTTCAAGATTTTTTTGAGCTTTTCTAACTTATTGCTTAATACTTGCCTATGAAATATGTTCTCAATCTCTTTTTATGATAGTTTTTGAGATTATTTTCATCAATAATATTTTATTTATATATTTTTAAAAATGATTTGCAATTCCTTTTTATACAAATCCATCGTTTGATATTTTCTGATATATATATATATATATTTTTTTTTTGGAATTAATATTTAAAACTATAAGTTACAAAAAATTTTTTTTATTTTTTCACTTAACACCACATTTATTTGAATGCGCGCATTTATATTACAATAAATATTTAAGTGACTAAATTAGTTGTTACAAGACTGTAGACACACTAACATAATCAATTTATAATCTAATAAACATAATAATATGCTTATAAGTTTTCCCAGACATCGTAAAATTTAATAAAATATGAAATAACAGATTTATACACACGGAAACCAAATATCAATTAGTTAAAAAATGATTAATAATTTTAAACGAGAACCAATTTGTTCATTTTATTTGACCCGGTAAACAATTGTGTTACCAACCTATCAGAAATTTAAAATAAATTGAAATTTCATGGTGTTGAATTTGAATTAAACATAAATTTCAAATTCTAATAATAAATACCCTAACAATACATAACTTTAACTTCACTACTAAACCTCATATCTATCTCTATCCTTTAAACACTCGTAGTATAATTGTTAAGTCCGTCGATCTATTAGTAGATTCAATGGTCTTGGTCCCTCAGTTCAAACCAGTGCAAACTTCACATTTGATAAAAAACATGATGTTAAATTAAAGTATGCAATTTTTGAAATTTGTATAATAATATCAATTATTTTATTTTTTATTTTGAACTGGAAATCACAATAACTTTAATTTTGGGTACATGGTTATAATCATTGTAAAAACAACAATAAAGTATTCAATATATTTATAGAGATTTTTAAACGTATGGTACATTGGTACAATAGATAAACAAACTAAAAAAAACTGTTAACTATAGAAAAAACATCTTTGTAAAATCAATAGATAAAAACCGGTGAAAAAAAATTATTTAAAGCTGTCTATTATTCTATAATACTGGCCGTTACCTTCCACCACTGATTCTAGAGTAGGGGAAATGTCCCCCAAATGATGCTCTTCAATAATATATACTGAAATACATAATAATTGCAATCTAACTATCCTAACTCTATTCTCTGATATAGAATATATTCTTATATTAGTTTATCATAAATTATTAAAATAATATCAGCGTATGCAGCAATTTCTCAAATTTACTAAAATGAATTAATTTAATATTATGATTTTTACATCCAATACTCAGATATTTTTTCATTAAAATATACTTTAAATGGCGTATAGTCACATAGAACATACTAATATTCCATACTCATATTGAACAAGTGTGCAGCGTAACTGAAATTATAGTAGTATCACGACCTATAATAATAAATCATTAAAATATTTTAGGTATCGTTAATTTTAAGTTAATTTTGAATAAAATTGTACTATTAGTAATCTTGCCAGTTTATTTATAATTAAGGCTAGGATTTATATAAAACAGTATATTTTTTTTTGTAACTTCTGATTATTGCTTTTATAAGTAATGTCTACGAATTACCTCATGATGAGGTAAACAATGGTAATTTTATTTTGCATATTTTGGAAAAAATGCATATTATTGCATATTTTGAATAAAATGAATATCATTGCAAATTTCGACTACAATAACGCGAAAAATGCATTTTTTATAGTATATTTCGTTGCTAGACGTTTTTATCATGCGACAGTATGTATTGGCACTGTTCAAAAATACTTATTGAAGATATACCTAACTTATATTAAGGTCTAACAGAAGACCGTCCAGTTTTGAAAATTTAAAATACCATATTATGTAATTGTTTTGTGTAATACATTTGAAAAGCGTGAATATTTAAGAACCAAATGCATATTTTATAATATTTTATTGCGTATAAATCCTAGCCCTATTTTTAAAAAATAAATACATTTCTCTATTTTTTAAATTATTTTTTAGATTTTGAGTGTAGCGAAAAATATATTAATTTTACAATTATCATTATGTTTTAATTCTGAAAAATTTTATAATAGATTATTATAATTTCGATCTTCAAAATTGAGTGTGGTTTCTAGTTTCAAATTAAATCTAGTTGGAGAGGCAAATATATGAAATGTTCGGTACAATGTTAAATATTTATTTTAAATTATTTAGAAATAATTGGGAAAAACAAAATATACAGAAAATAAGATATTACTGTTATTATACTTACTAGTAAAAATGCAAATAAAATATCGTGTTCACTGTTTAAGAAATTATGGTGTAATGGAGTCAATCATATAACATCTATCTAATGCCCATTGCTCACATAATATTATGATAGCTATAGTTAATGTTTAGCTATATAGGACATAAGTACATAACTAATAATTATTATTTTTACTATGAAGTACGAATACCGCACAGCAACATCGTACCCGACATTGCATACCCTACTGTAATACAGTAATGCTTGCACCACGCTGGTTGGTGTAGATAATACTGCAATATGCTGATATATAGTGTGATGCATATTCTGATGATACTAGACATATAAGTAATAATTATGAAAGACTTAGAATAAAAATAATATTTTAAATACTAATATAGTTTTTAAGATTTAACACATTTAATTGTGTAAATAGTTTGAAATAATTTCCTTACATTAAAGGAAAAATGGGTGATTCTGATAAAATTATAATTAAAATAAATTGGTAGTTGGTATTGTCTCAGGAGACTACTTAAAATTTAAATGGTATTAAAAAAAATTAAGTTTTTAATAATATTATGGTCCTTGTATCTATTCATAAATGTATAAAAAATCAGAGTTTGATTAAATTTATTACTAATGAAAAAAAAAAAAGAGAATGAGCATGCATGGTGAATCACTCTGTATCCTAACTATTGCTTGTAATTAGATTATAAAAATATATAGTAATATCATATACTACATACATTGTACAATTTACTGGCACTGAGATGTGAACGATATCAAACACGACACTGCTCGCAGGTCGCAGCTGATATATAGATATTACACACACGCACACACACATACACGTTTGACATAAATTTATATAAATGTATATTTAATTTTACATTCGCCGTATTGACGGTTCTCAATCATCTCAGTTACCATTCCGTCTTGGCACTTCGCGATATACACTTCGTATATCATCACAAACGGTTATGATGGTGTATAATTATTATAATATTTCATCGCTAATCTCGTTACTTAATTTTGTTGCTCGTTCAATTTAATATTTGTTTTAGGTACGTGTTGTCTAAAAATATAAGCATACTCATTTTGAGCAACGTACTAATAATTACTGTTCACTAAATATTTAGTGCTACACCATCATTGTAATTCGTAAACTAGCCACCGGGTATTTCAAAACACATTTTAGTTTTAAACTATTTGGTTTTCGCGTGCTCAGATCTCACTAGTCACTACATAGTACATAGTACATAGTACATACAATACATTTGTGTTCGACTCGTGCAATCGTACGACATCGCTGATATCTTAAACCGATAGTACTATTATCATCATCTGTAATACTGATACTGTAGGCAGTGGTTGTAATCTGTGAGTATATGATATTTATTAATACAAAATATCACGTCGCTTTTAATTTTAAATCCGGTTTGAGATTTCCAATGTTTCAATTGTACTATTGTAGTACAAATCTGATGTTCCGAAATTCATCTGTGATGACATCGATGAGCGATTGGTTGTTCCTTTCTAAGTTCAAAAATTTCTGATGGGTGGTGACTATACGACTATACCCATAATAGTAGTATGGTTATAATCTATAGAAACCATAGAAAATAGATTTACCCACACTCCACACATAACGTGTGCTGAGTTTAACTTTACCTGTTTACTGTTTAGTGTTTAATGTTTATTATTTAGTTCAAATTTAGGTAACACATTGCCAACCTTCTGTGCATTACACCAAATACTATAAGTATTATAGTATTTGATTTCACTCTTCTTTTTTTTTTTTACCTATGTATTTAGTATTCCGACACAACGTGAAACGGTTTAGTAACTGTTCAACAATGTACGTAACGTAATAAACAAAAATGAAAAACACTTTCTATTTCGTCGATCTATTATGATACATAACACAATTGTTTTAGGTCTATAATCTCAATCGTGTTAGAGAATGAATGTTGAATTTGAATTTATTAAAAATATTAACAAGGGTGATAAAAATAATAATTGTTTTCCGTGTTTTGAATAACTCGCCACACTTACCAGCTAGGTAAAATTAATTCTATAAATTATTTACCTATTGATATATTATAATCATGTATAATGTAGATATACTATATAGATTGTGAAAATGTTAGCTACATTATGTATTATATACTTAAAATGGAAATCACTATTGTTAAATCATATTGTCCTTGTTGTGTTCATAATTTTAAATGCTAATTCTATTATAATTTTATGGATTTTTACAGGTACAGCAACTAACGAAATAATGGCTAACTATGCAGATGTATGTATTCTTTATTTTTTTTAAAGAAGTATTTTACTGCATTCAATAGTCAAATTAACAGAAATATCTCTTTTATCTAGGTTGTAGAGAAAGCTAGAACAGCTTTCAACAGTAACCAAACAAAATCGTTACATCTCAGAAAACATCACCTTAGACAACTTCTCAAACTCTTAAATGAAAATTCTTCAGACTTACAATTAGCTCTAGCTACTGATTTAAGAAAGGTTTTTTAAATTACTGTTAATTGATATTATGTAGGTGTATAAAAAACTCAATTTTGAATTTTTATTTGAATAGAGCAAGCAAGAAGCAGTATTGTTTGAAATTGAATATTTAAAAAATGATATCATCAACGCTCTAGATTCAGTAGAATCCTGGATGAAAATCGAAAGGGTGTGTGCTTTATTAAAATGTACTCATTATCTATTTTTTTAAGAAATGTTTACATGTAAAATATATTTTGTTTAGCCTGATAAACCTTTGATTAATATAATGGATGATGTATTAATACATAAAGATCCATACGGAGTTGTATTGGTAATGGGAGCTTGGAATTATCCATTACAACTAACTTTGTTACCTGTGGTTGGTGCAATAGCTGCTGGAAATAGTGTTGTTATAAAACCTTCTGAAATTGCTCCAGCTACTGCTAAACTCATTGCTGAACTTGTACCAAAATACCTCAACAGAGTAAAGAACATTAATATCATACTTATTCATTTGTTTTTACATTAATTTTAATATTTTACAGGATGCTTTTCCAGTTGTTTTAGGAGGTGTAGAAGAAACAACTCAGTTACTTAAACAAAGATTTGATTATATTTTCTATACAGGATCAACATCTGTAGGAAAAATAGTCAGAGCTGCTGCAAATGAATACTTAACACCTGTCACATTGGAATTGGGTGGTAAAAGGTATTTTAATATTTTATTTATTTTATAAGAGTATATTTATAATATTTTTTTTTCTTGTAGCCCTTTATATATAGATGGTACTGTTAATATGGATATTTCTGTTAAGCGTATAATTTGGGGAAAATGCATTAATGCTGGACAAACATGTATTGCACCAGACTATATTTTATGTACTCGTCAAATTCAAAATAAATTTGTGGAGAAAGCAAAACAACTGTTAAAAGCCTGGTATACTGATGATCCAAAAAATTCTCCAGATTTTTGTAGAATTGTTTCTGAAAAACATTTTGTGTTAGTACATTTAAATTATGGTTATTAAGATATTTTTGGAAATATTAAATTGTTATTTTGTTTATAGGAGATTATTAGACTTAATGACTAACAGTGGATCAATTGCAGTTGGTGGTAGACACGATAAAAAAGATCTCTATATTGAACCAACAATATTGACTGATGTAAAACCTACAGATCCTATAATGAAAGAAGAAATTTTTGGTCCAATTTTACCAATTGTAATTGTGGATAATGCTTATGATGCTATAAATTTTATTAATAACAGGTAAATACTAAATAGTAAAAATATTATTTTAATTTGTAATTCAATATTATTAAATATCAAAATTTTAATACTGAATGATTTATAAAAAAACACATTAATTCATCAGTTCACTAGACACAAGCATTTTAGACTTGAGTCTGATCTTAAATGTCATCTAATCTAACTAAACAATTTCATATTGTAATAATATTTAGGAATAGAAAACCTATTTTTTACTTTGTTTCGTATCTACTTTTATTAAAATTTTTAATTTTAATATAACAAAATAATATGATCAACAAATATTTAATCACCATTGTTTGCAGTTGTTTAAAAAAAATGTAAAATAAGTTTATATTTTAACTATTAATTCTTCTGAATACATTCTATTGCAACTTTCTCCAAAAATTATCTGTAAAATATGATCTTTTACAAGATTAAAATGAAATCTACAATTTATTATAAATTTAAAATTGTTGTATCCAAAAAGTGATATTTCTTAGTTCAGTTAAAAAAAAATGTATTTAATTAATATTGAATAAACAAATATTATTTTTAAATTTATAGTTTTATCCTATAATTAGTGTTAAACTAAAATAAAAACAATAATCAAGTATTTAATCATTTTTTTTTTTAGAAATTATGAATTATTAAATTGGATTGCATTTAAATTTAGTTTGTATTGTATACTGATGGCAAATTACTTAATATATAAATATTTATGTTTTATCCCCCAGGAGTAAACCATTAACATTATATGTATTCTCTTCCGACCAAGAAATGCAGAATTTATTTATGAAACAAACTTCTAGTGGATCATTTTGTGTAAATGACACCGTTAGTCATTATGCCGGTAATAATCAATAACAGATATTTCAGAAAGTTTCTTTTTCTTTTTCTAATAATAATTTCTTTGTTCTTTTTGTAATATTGCTTGTGTACATAGAATTATAATATAATTCTGGCCATTGTTATCAAAATACTTACATTATAATCATTATTGAATTTATGAATTAATCATAACTATTTAATCCTACACTAAAACTTACCATTGTATACAGTACAATATAGTAATATTTTATTCGTATTGTGTGGCGTATGTTACTTCAATTACAATCAATACTATATAATCTTGACAGTTTGAGAACATCTTGTCTCAAATTAATATATTGGTTTTTGGAATAACATTTTTGAGGCTCTGATATTAACTAAATTACTTTTATGGTGTTGGTAATTAAATTTGTACAGAAATCATAGTCCATTGGCTTTATACGTATTTACTCAAAGTAAAGAAATCATTAACAACATGTTGGAAAACGTGAAAGCTGGTGGAGTTTGTGTCAATGATACTATAGTACAAGTGTCTGGTAAGTAAATTATTTTTCATGTGTGCAATAGTATGTTTTTTTGAAGTTGCTCCTAACATGTGCAAATACATATGTGTTATTAAAATATTAAAAATAATATGGATTCATAAATATTTTATGTATAAAATATTCACATTTTAATAACTACATAATTTTTGTTATTTATTTTTATTTACAAGGCAGTTGAAATTGTATTAGTTGATTTTTTCTGCTTGTTTCATATGTACTATGGTTATACTTCTTGATATTTTCAAAGCTGTACATTTATGATTCTTTATCTAAATGTGAAATTGTATAATTTATTTTATCAACTAAAATATTTTTTATTCAGCTATTGGATAGTTTTTTTAAATATAGAAATATATTTGTATTTTTATTTTAACCACTTAAATTAAACAAATATAGATAAATTTATTTATTTTTTTATCAAACTTAATATAGGTCTACATATTATAAGAAAATAAATAATTACAGTTTTGGATGTTTGATAGAAGTGAAAATTAGTCTACTTCTGTGATCTTTAATTCACTTAAAATCATTTTATTTTTACTAGATTATATACAATATTGATAATATGATTTTTCTGATTATAGAATTTATATTTAAAATTTTGAATTTATTCCTTATTTGTAGGTTTTGTATTTAGCTTTTCAATCACCATAATAAAATTTATTTTTATTTCATACATAAAAATAGTTAGGTGTTTATTGTGTTTGGGTGACATACGCTTATTATACATAATAGTCTAATACTCACATAGTTACATAAAAACTAACAAGCTTTTTTAAGTGAAAAAATAAATATGTTATTTCTTGTACAAAGCAAATATTTTAGTCCTGTTTCTTATTCCTTTGAAGTTCTACTACAACCTTTTTTATTAAAATATTTATTTTATCTATAAAATAATTGCTCATTAGAATTTTTATTATCTTATACTATACTAACCTATTCAAAAAATAATATGTTTATGATAAGATAATAAGCATTAATGTGTAAAAAATTTATTTAGTTGAAAATCTACCATTTGGAGGGGTCGGTCTTAGTGGAATGGGAGCCTACCATGGAAAGCATACTTTTGATACATTCACCCATCGGAAAAGCTGTTTGGTCAAAGATTTCAACATCATTGGAGAATCATTTTCTTCGTTAGTAACACATACTATTATTGTTTTACTTTAATGTTATTAATCCTAATAAATGTTTATAATACAGAGCAAAATATCCACCATACTCTGACAAGAAACTAAGCATGGTATCTTTCTTGATGAAGAAGAAACCAAAAATTAATTTCAAATTCCTACCATATTTGATTGTATTTGGTCTTGGGGTTGGTGCAACCTTTGCATTCAAGTATTTTAATAAGGTACATTCAAGGTCTAATTTTCGCTTTTAATCGAATCATATTATAAAGTTCATTAATCATATTTTAACATAACATACATGATTTATCACCTTTATAAAATATGTAACCAAAATAAAAAATTTAACATATTGCTCATTTAAAAAAATATACATGTTTTTATATTTTCTTAAGAACTTATACTTAGCCAAAATCTGTTGTGTTTTTTTGTTTACTGATATAACAATAGTATTTTTATATTTTCATTACTTTATATTATTTTTTTTTAACAATGAAAGTTTATTATTGGTATTGAAATAACTTTTATTTTATAATTATATTTTTTTTTTTATGTAACTGATTTACCCATTTCTTTTATTTTAAATATTTTTTTATTACTTTAGTATAACCCATTGATTATAGTCTATTCTATAGTCAATGGTATAACTCTTAGCCATACATTTTTAGTAAAAATGTCACATATATTTTAAAGACAAAATAAACAATTAGAAATGGTTATACACGATTTCAGGTTCTTTTATTGTTTAACTGTTTTGTACATTTTATATACCTAAACAAAAATTAATTTACCGAGATTTCTTAGGTAATCGAAAAAATTCCTTAAAAAATTGTAAAAATAATATAATTTTTTTCACTGTATCTGTAATTTTATTTATTAAATATTTGGACTTGTAATTTTATCCGTAATTAAAATAAATGTTAGGTAAAAATGGCCTGCAAAAAAGAAAACTATAGACGCTATATATGTATCATCGCGTAGTCTCACATATGCATTTAAGTACAAATTAAATCTACAAACATTTAAATAAATACAGTGGATTTCACTTAACCTAACCAGTTAATATGAGCATCTGTTTAATATGGGCTAAATGGTCTGGTCCCAATTCCTATGTATATTAACAAGGTTAAAATGAATCACATAATATAGGCACTTGGTTCGGTTTTTGTGGGCAACTTTTATTTCATCATAGCATTAGAATATACATAAGAAGGTAACGAGGGTAGTCCATTTAATATGTTTGAAGCATGTGCCACTTTTGTAAACCAGATCCACATTAAACAGTCAGACAACGAGCAATTACAATTTTTGCATACCTTCCATATCCAAAAAGTTTATTTAGTACCTATGTTATATTTAGTTTTATTTGTGTAGTCATTTAACATTTTTTTTAATTGTATGATTCACGTGTGCAAAATAAAAACTTTTTTTGATATCATCAATTTTTTTTTTTTTTGAACTAATTTCGGTTTTTGTGGGCAACCGCTTAATGTGGGTAAACAGAGCTGGTCCCAACGTGCCCACATTAAGCGGAATCCACTGTAATTTATTTTTATTTGAAATTTAGAAAAACTGTGAGGGCTCACATGTTTGGGGGCCTACCATGGAATTGCATATTTATACCATGGGCCAGTCCTACCCTGTTACTCACAATAATTTTTTAATTATAACATTGATGTCTGGTGAATTCATTTATTAGCATGACATTTATTAATTATTACTATTTACATATTATACTAGTTTACGTTTATAGAATCATTACAATGTCAACTATTAAGAGAAAGTCGTAGTAGATATAATAAATATGAATTCCATTAATAAAAATCCCTAGCATTAAAAATGTATTCAATTTTTATATTTATTCAATGATAATAGAAACCTAGATTTAAATGCTCTACACTCTATCAAAAAATACTCTAATAAACAACCAAATATGCCTAAAAAAATTACCAATATTTTTTTGATAGACATACGAGCAGAGAAAAGTTTTTTAAATTGTCTTTTATGTACACACAAGAAACTATAAAATTAATAATTTTAGTAAAAGTTCTGAAAATTCTTTTAAATCACTAATGCCGACTTTGGGACATATTTTCTGATGAATAATGAGGTGAAATCTATATATTGGATGTCCAGCATGCTTTTCAATAACTTAACAAAACCTATTACTGCCCCTGTCATATTGGGTGCTCCATCCTTCGTATCTAATAGGAATAATTTTTATTTAATTTATATTAAATTGACGACGACATCACACACATTTGTACTTCTTATTTTTTTTGGTATATTAGCTAATTTTAAATGTCCCTCGTGCCTTTCATTCCCTTTTGAAAAATCTGCAAAAATTAATAATCTATCAGATGACTTTTTATCAGTATGAATTCAATAAGAAATATTAGGGGTAATTTTTAAAATTCTTTTACAATATTTTTGCTTAGTTATAATTTTTGAATTATTTGAAATACTTTTTTATTATTATTAGAATCTTGAAACAAACTAGGACAGGGATCGGGAACCTACGGCTCTTTAACGTGCATCTGTGGCTTTTTTAGAAAATGCATAAATATCGAAACCCGTAAAAATACAAATTAAAATTTGATTATAATTTTCTTATTTAGATTATAATATACATTTTTTTTTCATTTTTATTCTTTACTTCTATAGTGATAATATTCTTGAATTTCTTAGCAACAATGTTTATTTCAGGTAAAAATAAAATAATATTTTATCTATATGACACAAAACAAAAAGTTGGTCAAACCTGTGTGGTTTCTGGACATTAAAGTTTCGTAACTCTTTAAAAAAAAAAAAATGGCTCCTTCCTATAAAAAGATTATCAACCCCTAAATTAGGAGCAGCTATTTAAACATGACCATTTCAAAGAATTCGCCATCAGAAAGTGGTCATAAGTGTTTAGGTATCAATCAAATGAAAAATATTAAAACTTACTTCAATGACATTATTTACATTTTTACGTATTTACATAATAAATTAGAATAGTTTTCAATTACTTTTAAGCCTTGGGAAATAACTTAACTATGAAATTTCTTTGTAGTTCGTTTCAAAATGCCGTTTGATATTAGATGTCCAAGATACAATAATTTCAAGACATAGGCAGCATCGACTTTTATCTCTATGTTTAATAAAATTATACTTACTCAATTGTCCACGATGATAAAAAATTTTGAACAATCTATAATTTTTATTATCTCATAAGTACCTAAAGTAGTATGTTTTGGTATGTTCAGAAATCTAACCCCCTGATCCCTTGACCATTTCTGAGCTCCTGACCATTTCTGATCCCTCACCACCTCATACCTATAATCGGTGTGACGTAGTCATCAGGTGGTGCTGATGGTGTGGGGGGTAGTCAGGTGGCGGGGTAAATGTGCGTCACACCGATCATGAGGATGAGGGGGAGATCAAACCCTAGGTGGCGGGGTAAATGTACGTTATACCGATCATGGGGATGAGGGGGGTGAGGGATCAGAAATGGTCAGGGGATCTGGGGGGTTAAGTTTCTGAACATACCAAAACATACTACTACCTAACATTTTGAATAAAAATAAATATTAATAATGTAAAACTCACACACAGTCCCATCCATCCAATACGCAAACGAGAACTGATTAATTAATTAATTACCTCTTCTCCAAACTTTATGACACAGTGTCATAGTATAAAATATAAATAATAATAATAATAATACATCGTTGTGAAATATTCAAATATATTAATGCATGGGTATACGTGAAATATATTAATAATTTAGTTTTGCTGATAATATATAATAATATATGTAACTTAAAATCTTTAAATATATATGAAAACATGAAATTCTTTAGGGTGCCATCGAAAATTTACCCCTTGCCACTTATTTGCCAACCTAATTAAACTTAGCAATTGCGTGTCTATGCTTTTCCTAATTTTTATTCCGTTAATATTTTTCTCTACTACCTAGGTAAAAATATATTCTTCATACTATAGAGTAAATGGAAAGATAATAGTGATAATCGAGACTGAAATATTAGTACTAAAATAATAAAAACAACATAAACGTTATAATAAGGTGTTTAAATTTAAAGAAATAAAAGACTAGCGCTGGTCTTTGAGCATTTAATTGCCCGTAAAAAAGGCTACCTGTATGTTTTTATTTTGTTCAATCCTTAATTAATATTTGATTTAAAGATGTTTAAGACTTAAAAAAATTATATAAAATATTTAAGTTTTAATTTTTATGTTATTTTTACTCAGTAGTTATATTTTGCACATTTTATCACACTCATAGGTATAGCGTTTAATTTACATAAAAGTTTTTCATTCATCTATTTTTTTAAATTTTTATGAAAAATATAATATAACAATACAATGAAACCTGTGTAATATGAAAATGGCTGGGATCGGATATTTTTTCTATTTACACAAAAGTAAAAAAAAAAATTAAAAAATTATTACATGTATTTTATACTTAGGTACATGTTACGTAAATATTTAATATTACATTTTACCTTCTTTCTATTATACGTAATTACAAGTACACACATTTCCAAAATTCTTCCAATGTTTTTGTTAAATAACTTGCTACTTTTTTTCTACTAAATTTTTCAAATTGAGAATTAATTTTGATGAAAATTAATTTCTATTAGTTTGATATCTTTTATCCAATGCGAACATTTCTAATCGTTTTATTTTATTAAAAGAATTTCTATACGTTTTAATATTATCGATTTTCAGTGGTACTTTATCGGTTTTGTCATCGGAACTGGATTGTACAACATTTTTTGAAAAATAATTTATTTTATTATCTTTAGTTGTAGTAATACATAAATAAAACCTAGTAAATTTAAAGGTTGACATTAGTTTAGCAATTTGGCATGTGCTTTAGCTCTAACAAACCACTTACAAGTCAAATCATTAATTTCTTCGTTTGCGTTGGGTTTTGGTTTTTTTTTCATTCCTCCAATTCTAAAACAAAAAATGTACATACATATCTAGAATTTTAAATTTTATATTCATTTTTATAGATAGGCAAGCTTATTACTTTTCATTTATTGGTGATTCTTTTATTTAATTTTTTTCGCTTTAATACATTATAGATACACTTGACATTTCCACAATTGAAAAGTTTACAAATTTGTTTTAATATTAATTTATCTTTTTTATTTGACTCAATTATTTGAACTTTTTCATTTAGAGTTAAATATTACTTTTTGGACGTCATACTGATTATACATTTACAAGCAGCAGTCTTAACACTTAAATATGTCTTCTTAACCATAAAATACATTTATTGCAACGACTTATTCTGTATAATTTGTACCATTGTACATATTTCCATGACATGCAGGTGCATGACAAAATATTGTTTCCATTTCCATATTAAACAGGTTCCATTTTTTATTCAAAGAACAATGTATTTAAAAATACATAAAGCTCGTCGGGTTCATACAATTATTCCATAAGTTAGGTTTTTACGTTATTCAGATTCCATATTATATCTACAAGTTTTACTGTATAAAAGAAATTTAATTATTTATAAATAAATATTTTTAGTCTTATTTTCTCTTAAATTTCGTCAATTTTTTAAATCTTATTTCATCAATAACATTGTGTGCATTGCTAGCACTCGACCCACTGCATTGCATCGTCTACCCAAGTTATTATTTCATTTTTATTTAGTGTTCCTTGTGACTTTTTTTTCTCAGCTTTTATGGGTTGTAGCGTGATGTTAAATATTCTATATCTTTCTCAAGAATTTGATTATCAAACGCAATAAGAATTTTTCAAAACAGACTGGTAGTTTCAGATATTAGTGGGTTCAAACAAATAAACTTTTCAGATTTATTATATTAAATAGACAATAATAAATATAAAAATAGTTATATAAATATAACTATTCTTTTTTTTTACTGACTAAATAGTACATAATTTTAACCTCTTTAAATATCTTGATTTCTATTAAGTACTCTTTCCCTAAATTAAGACCATTTTATATTATTGTATATATTATTGTAAAGCATTTTGGGTTATTACAGGAATTATTTACTTAATTAGCTGTGCTTCCAAATTTTATAGTTTGTTTTATTCTATATCAGAATTATCAAAAAAAAAAAAAAAAAATTGAACTAAATATTGACTGAATTTTGAGCTTGTTAAAAATAACTCAGTTTTATATCATTCCCATATCCTTAATATAGAATACCTAATAATATTTCCTTATTCACAATAAATTAAAACATTATTACAATAATAAGTTATTTTATTCATTCTTATATATATATATAGATTTTTTCATTAATTTGAACTCTATCAAATGATTGGTGTTTGGATATCCATAACTTTCTTTCTAATGTTTTTATATCTTTCTTCTTCAAATATTTATTCATCATTTTCCTATTAAGTACTTCAACATTTTTATTATTTAAATTATTTATAAAAGATGTTTATAACTTAACCAATTTTAACTAATATATATATATATATATATATATACTTATGCGATGATATAAACTAATTATTAATTATTATTTCACACAAGTGAAGTTCAAATTAATTTAATAATACTCTAAAATAAAAGTAAATTATAATTAAAAATTTGTTTATACTTTACATAGTTAATTATGTATTATATTTCTTATTTAATAAAGAAAATTTATTATATTTTTTCAGATTATTGATGAAGAAACTGACTAAAATTAAAATTGGTCAATTATAAATAATAATATAATTTAATCATGAATTATGATGGATAAATTTATATTCTTATCACAAAATCATAAAAATATATTTTGTTATTTTTTTTTTTATTATATTAAAAATAATCAAAATGTACAAGTTTACTAGCTGCCATGAAGACAATTATTTTATAATCAAAATGTATTTCTTTATGAAAATGTTAACTAAAATTCATATCAAATTATTAGTTTCAAAATTAACTTAATAAGCATATTAAATTTGTATTTTATACTGTATGTTAACTGTCAATAATTTAAGAAAAAAATATATTGTAATTTACCAGTAACAACTAAGCGGATATACTAATATTTCGTATATATATTTTTAACAGAAGGTGGAGTACTTGGAATAAGATTTTAGTTTATATATTTTTAAAATTTTTAAAATTGTTTCTTATGTTAAATTTTTTTATTATTATTATTTTTTTTTTTATTAAGTCCTTAAAATTGTTAGTTATATATACTCAAACATTTAGTTTTTACTATATTTATTTTACAATAAATAAACACAATATAAAATCAACACTAATAGATAAAAAAAGTTATTAATACTTATTAGTGTTCACCTTTTTAATCTTTATACACAAATATATTATGTACAACACAAATTTAGATTTGAAGTGTTTTATAAACAAAATTATTTTAGTATTTATGTATCATATTGAAATTAAAATAATAAACATAATATGCACCTCAATAAACCATATTTTAATTTTTAAGGAAGTTCATATTTTATTTTGTTTTCTTCTATAAACAATGTAGTCCTTAATAAATTTACAAAATTATAAAATAATTGATAATTCAATACTTAAATGGAACAATATTATAGTTCTGTATGGAGATAATCAGAATGAAAATCATTTGGTTCATCTTTATGAATAAATATGCCTTCTTTTACACGCCAATGAGTCGAAAATGGTCCTGGATTTTTTACAGCAGCAATTTCTTTTTGTCCATTAATTGGTCGACCGTATGATAAACTTGAAGCCATTAAGTATCTAAAAAAAAAAAAAATTAATAAATGAATAAAATAAACAAATTGGTATGATTCTGATTGTGCAAAGTCATATGTTAAATTTTAATAAAAATGTTCAGTAGTATTTATTTGCTGATCTAAGTTATATGGGATGAAAAATTTGTAAAACTAGGTACCTATGTGTTATAATTTAATTAAATATAAATTTTGGAATCCAATCACAAAATGTATGTTGTTTTTGCCAACTCTAATAAAACAGAATATAATTAAGTTTATAATAAATTTGATATGATGTTAATATGGATTAATATAGGTATTAAAAATTAACCAAAACAAGAAGTAAAAAATTAAAATTAAACAAGTACCAAATAAACAAAAATATTAAAACTTTATAGCTCTTATGCAGGTATAAAATTAATGGAGTTTAAAAATTCAAAGAAAAATGTTGAAATTAAAACAAAATTCTAAGCAGTATCCAAAGAGGTCCATAAGTTCTGGATTCAGGACCCTACCAAAATATCATATATTTACTACATGATATTTTAGACACTCCAGAAAATAATATGTACAGTTTAATTGTAATAATCTTATAAAAGCTATAACATTAATATGATTTTTGCAACCAGAAGTGTAAATTGGTCTATCCAAATGTAGTACTTTCATTGACACATTTTGAATGTCTTGTAATAAATACTTTTACAGATACAAATACGTTAAATACCAATAGTATAAAGTACAAAATAACAAGTCTCAGCGCATGTGCAGTATTAATAATGGTCGAGTCTCTATACACATGCTAAAAGTATTATCTATAAATTTAAAATTTTATTGAACTTACGATCCTGTATCTACATGTTTTAATCGAATATCATCATCTCTCTCCCAATAGTCTCCATTGCAATCGGCATACCAATGATCACCAGTATCTCCTACTCCGTCATTACCATACGCAGACATTTCTTGATTGCCAGATAGAGGAGAACTGAATAGATGTGAATGAAGGTTCTTTTTTGTAGTTAAATGTGTAAATCTAATTATACTTCCACATTTAATTGGCTCGCTAAAATTTTAAATACAATTAACATTTATAAATAATAACCATGATTAATAATAGTGTTACCCTCTTTTACAATGTTTTCCTGTTTGTGCTTTAATTTCCCAAAGTGAATTAATATCTTCAGACAAATCAGTGCCAGTTACAGACTGCTGACCACTGCCTGCACCATATTTAACATCGTGTGAATGCAACCTTACTTTAAGATCGATATTGTACAATTTTGTGACAGTTCCACAGGTCACATACTCCACATTTTTACCTGTTTGTTAGATATATTAAAAAAATATTAATTATGGACATTTATGTTGATTGTTACTTACTTTCTACCCATTGAATGAGTATTAATGTTGCGCAGCATAATAAATATGTTTTGCTAAAAGATATGTCCAACATATCCCTAATTTGTATAACACAATTAAAAAAAATATATATTATATACCTCTATATGAAATACATAAATTCAGGAAATACAATTAACTCTTTAAATATTGTACAATTCCGAAACCAAAATGGCATAAGCATAATCAAGTATCAACAAATTCGAATTAAACACATCATTCAATATATTTTTTTATCTGATACTGCAGTGAATAATGAATAGTGATATAAGTCGGATACCGGTTAGGGAGTTATGATGACAACAGCGCTGAACCCAAGTCATAATAGATGAAATAAAAAAATGGACGAACTCCGTATCCATATCTATAAACAGTAACCTAACCACGAAAATATTGTGTAATCGAACCACTTACCTGATATAGATAATCTATTATCAAGTTTATTGTGATAACTGATAATAAGTATTCTATGTAATCCATATTTGATATTTCCATAACCCATGTGCTTCTACAACTACATAGTACATAATATTATTTGTACCTATAAAAAGTTTTAAAAACTAAAACCATAATTTATTTAAACTTTTGAATAATAAGTTGAACACCCAACATACAAGTCTGAATAACAAAACATTTTAGTAATGTTTAAAGTGTCTCTATAATATTTGAAACAAGTTGATTGATTTTTAGTTATTATTATTATTCTATTTTATTGTTGACAGTGCCAAGTGATTTCATTCAATTATTAACTTAATATTTATTTTATATTTTTTATTAACGTTTGTTATATTGGATTATTTAATGTGAAGTGTCCCGAACTTATCTTATGCAGAGATTAAATATTATTTTCCTATTGTCACTGTCACCCACATTAATATGGAGTTGACTATTAATGCGAGTAGTTTCACTGATTACTTGCACATCCATAAAAAATCAAATAGAAACCGTGGTACAATCATGAAACGTCTGAGAGCTAAAAGCAAAAATACATTTTTAGGATTCAATGAATGGTTTGAAAAAGAACATGATTATTGTTTACCAATCAAAAAAAGAAGTGAAGTAAGTTTAAAATATAAATACTGTTAAGTAAAAAAACAAAAAAAATTTTTTTTTTAAAGTATGATCATAAGTGTAATACTAACGAATTGGATGATGAAGATTTTGATGCAATTAATAAATCATTAAAATCAGATTTTATATCATCAGATATTTCAAAAACAACAAATCTAGAGAAAATAAATGTAAATGACGAGTTAACTAGTTGTAGCTTATATGCTATTGATGTAACAACAGAGTGAGTATTATTTACAAAATAAATCATATGAATAACAATATTTTATTAATTTATTTTTTATTAGATTATTAAAAGATGCATTATTAGAAAATCAAAAAAATCAAATAAATTATACACAATCAATAAGTGTCACAAAAGATAGTATTACTTCAAGGTAATTTATATCATTATAATACTAATTAATGTTTAAACGTTTATTTTAATGATTTACTAATGCTTCATTAGAAGATACTTAAAGTTAAAATAACAGGATTATTATTCTGAGCAATTATAACTTGGGAAAAAGTAGCAAATCAACAGTTTATGGAGATATTTAAAAAAAAATTGGACCAAATTTCTAGAGAAACATTGGATTTAGTTTTTGTTTTTAAAATAAAGTCTTACTTTGAAAATTTTTGTTTTTTTTTTAGTTCGTATCATATTGAATATCAATATGTTATGATTGTATTAATGATTTTTTTATTTTAAATAAGATAAAATAAAACATTTTACAATCAAGTGATAATAAAAGAAAAATTGTGTGTTTCAAGGGAATGTACGCCACCAAAATTATTTTCACCTATGGAGATCGACAGTGACATGATAAAATTGTTTCCAACTTTAGATTATTCTACAGAACATAATTTAAACGAGTAATAATTAATTTATTTTTAATTATTTACAAATTACTTATTGTTTCTTTATTTAATTCTTCTAGAAAACAAGAACACAACAAATATAAAGAAATTAAAATTGCTAAAAACACAGAAGAAACTAAAAATGAGAAGCTAGTTTTGGTTAATAAATCGGTTACTGACACTGTTTCTCAGTCTTTACGTACAGAAAATATTGAAGGAAGTAATTGTAAAGTTGAATTTAAACTACCTAATAATTTACAGAAATTATCAGCTGGCAATTCAGCTAATGTGATAAACCATCAACTAGCATCAGACCAATATATAAATATATTTAATCGATATCAGGTATTCCATGCAATAATCATTTTTAATTATTGTGTTGAGATTTTATAATTATTTTTAAAATATTGATGTAGGGCAAGTCAGGAGAAAAATTTATTGAACAGGTTGAAAATCCAGGTCCTTTATTATTAAGAGATCTTCTTTGTGGTTCAAAACCCAAAACTATCATTAGTCCTTACACTCAAAGGTAATTCTTATTAAATTTTACAACTATTACTTGAAAAAATTATACTTTTTTTTCAATGTTAAATTGACCAATTATAATATTTTAAACATTTATTTATAACTTGGTTTAAAATTATAATATTAAAAAACTTTTAAGCTTATTAATAAGTCAATATTAGTGATGGGCACTATTGAATATCTATTTGAATATTTTTAACATAACTGTTTAGTAGCTTGTTAATAAAAACTATCAAATAGTTGAATAGACTATTTGGATTGTTTGGTAGACTATTCAAATCGCATTATAGAATAGTTTGTTGGACTATTTGAATCACACTATCAAATAGTTATATTTTTTCAAACTATTTGAATATTTCAATTTTTAAGAAGACCATTAGTGCATATATGGAGGTGCTAGATGGTGCTTATCACCCCCGCTTATTTTGAACTAAAAATATTGTTTAAAGTGTAATTTTGCATTTATAAAAATGAGTTTATTAAGTTTGAATTGATAATTTGCTAATACCACGGACTTACATACTTTATATATATATATATGTATAAAGTGTTGGATATTTGTAGTATGTTTTCTATTTAGTATTTATATCGCATTTGGATTTTGGAAACATCGTTAACTATTGGCTCATCAATATTTAATTTATAATTTTTTTTTTACAATTCAGTTTTTTATAATTAAATGTTAAGTAGATATATCCCACAACATGATTTGGTCAATAAAATAGGTCTTAGTATTGATGTTTTTCTACATTTTAAGAACTCCATGAAAAAAGTTTAAAATCATAGACATTGGTATTAAAAAATTGTCCTAGTAAAAAGAATTTGCTATAAGTTCTTTTATGTGCATGTATAATCCGAAAGTATGTCCAAACCTCTGTAAATTAATTCAAGTTGCAATACCTATATAATTTTATTTTATATTATTTAATTACTATATTATTATACTATTTGTTATTACTTATGATAAATAATAAATACAGATTTAAAAAAAAAAAAAATTATGATTTGATTATTCATTTTGAAATTGCGTATTTCCTTTTTATGTTTAAATTTTAAACTTAAAACAAAAAAGTATAACTTAATAAATTAGTTTAATTTTACTAATAATAAACTGAATAAACACACTATATAGCAGGGGTGGCTACAACGAGGCTCGCGAGCTGCATGCAGCTCTTGAACTAAATTTAGACCAAAATTAATAAATATAAAATTTGTTTGAATCGTTAGAAATGTTAGATAGCATTTTTATTGCCATTGATTTGTTATCATTACAGTCGTTATTAGGTATAGATTGGCACGGCGACGGTGCTTTTAGTATATGTAGCCAAAAATGTGTCTTAATTTCATAAACATCGCTTTATAAATTTGCGGCTCCCAAAGTTAAGGTTAGTTGCCACCCCTGCTATATAGTATATAATATTAGCCATTAGATACATTGATTATCGAATATGATAACAATTAACAAATTAATAACTTATAACTATTTATTAATAGTTTTTATATTTAAAAATTAAACTATTCGATTAGTTATGGAATGATTATCAAATAGTTCGATAGTTCCCATCACTAGTCAATATCAATTTAGTATTAAAATTTAAAACTAACAAAATTAAATGTAAAAAACTCATCGTACATTTGTATTTTTACTTACTTTATTAGTAAGTAATAAAGATAAAAATGCTGGTGTAGTGTTTTCTTAAGAAATACAGTATTAATAATATTAAACATATTTTGTTTTATGCTGGAGAGGGTAATAAAATTATTATTCATTTTTTATAGGCATTTAAAACCATATATATTCAGAGATTTGCAGATTAAACCACTGTGGTTACAAATGTTGAATGAATTAAAAGAGCATTTTAGAAAAAAAAAAGGATTGCCTAAAACTACAGAAATTCAATCAATTGACTATAGTTATGTTCGTGCTAGACACATAAATTCAGTAAATGCACTGGCGAGACAATTTTTCTGGCCTGGAATTGATTGTAAACAATTATATTGATTTAATGACAAATAATTTGTATTTTATAATTTAAAAAAAAAAATTTTTACTATTTAGTAACTGAAAGTCTATTGTACCCAGACTTCAGTGTCATTGCATTATACAAAAACTTGGTAATTGGTTTTGGTTTCATGGTCCCAGATATAAGTACAAATGAAAATTATATAACATTTTTGTTCACTCGTCCTCATTGGAATAACTGTGGTATTGCTAAATTTATGGTATACCATTTAATTCAGGTATTATAATAAAAATTTATTAACAAAATATAATTGCATATATTTAAATTTATATATTTTTTTTTAGACTTGCATGACTAGAGATATAACATTACATGTCTCCGTAAATAATCCAGCCATGATACTATATCAAAAGTTTGGATTCAAAATTGAAGAATTTGTTCAAAATTTTTATGAAAATTATATTCCTGCAGATTCAGAAATGTCTAAGCATGCTTTTTTTATACGTCTACGTAGTACTTTAAAATCAAATTAAACTAATTCACAATGCTAAAAAAAATTTTTAACTGATTCTCAGTTAAGTTTTGTTAACTTTCGTGAAAGTATTTTTTATACAGTATGTAATTGATATTTTTATACTATACACTATGAGTATTTCATCTTTTTTAAGTTATCTAAATTTTTTTGAATTCTATATTACTGTACTTGATTAATAATAAAAAATACAGTAAAAAATTCATACTAAAAAACACTAATTATATAAAATTTATAATTTTGCATAGTATAATTTGATTATTTCCTTTACTCCAGTTTCAATAACACATGATTTTGAAGTGAAAATCAAAACTTGAAATATTTGTGTTTGTAATAATGTGAAAAATAAAAAAAAGGAGAATAATTAGGGTAATGATATATTAAATATAATTACTGGAAGCCAAAACAGTACCTTAAGGATAGCTAGATCTAAAGTAGGAAGATGTAAATCTGGAAAATACTTCGTACATTTAAATGCTAGAAAATATAATCATTTACGACATACCAATATTAAATTTACATTATTATCTTCAGAGAGCTTTCAAGATCATGTAGTAGAGAATTTTATCAAGTACATAGTGCACTATAATATCAATTTAATATATAAACTATAATAATAATAAAAAGTAAGGTGGCACAAATAAAAAACAAACAACTCTCTAAACACTTAAGTCTAATTAAAACAATAGTTTAGCTCTTTGAAAAGTCAAGTCTAGTTATGCTTGCAGAATCCAATGTTTAAAAGTGTTATACGAATGATTTTCTTATATTATAAATAATAACTTATATTATGCTGCTATACTATTTCGATTTTTGAGTTTTAATTGATTTCTTATCACCCGTTTAATAATCACCACTCACCGACTTACGGCTAAGATTTTTCAATTTTTGGAAATCCCTAGTGTACCTACGCGCAGTCACACATCAGTAAGTCACTATATTTTGAAATTTAACATTTTTAAACTTTTATGTGACTATGAAAGTCCCTAAAAGCGAAACAAAAATTCACCAGTACCAAAAACTTGATTTTAATTTTGAAAACATACTTGAATTCCTTATTTTCTTTTCTAGGTTACGTAGGGAATGGATTTTTATTTGTTGTATTATTTAATACATAGGTACTTTTTATTAATAAACTACAGAATTTATTTTATTTCCAAAATTCAGTTTTACTTTAGTGTAGGTAACTTAAGAAGATAAATTTCCTATGAAACACACAAACAAGGATCAAACAAATTCAAATATTTAAAAAAAAAAATTAAAATTTAACTTCTGGAAATATAATTATTTTTTGGTCTAAAATCTAAATGCATGATAAAGTGACCTACTTTTAATAACCCTAAAATTTCAACAACATGGATTATTAGTCTACCTTTAGCTAAAATATATGTTTATAGATAAAATAAAAGGGAGAGGATTTACATTATTTGTAATAGGTATTTTACTTACCTAAGTAAATATTGTTGAAAAATATATAAATTGCTTGAATATTTCTTCATTCTTGCTTCAGTGTGGTTTCAATTTAGAGCACTCGGTCATTAAATGGTAATGTTTTATGGGGTTGATTGCCAAGTTTTCCGTGCATGTATATTATTACCTATATATTTTATGCCTTTACATTTATTAATATTTCTTTCAAAATTCCATACTTATTGACAGTAATTGAAAATGTTTATCTATAACACTGGCTTGGTAGCTTTGGTACCTACCTATTTAACATAATAATGTTCTCATGTTTCATAAGCTAAAGAAAATGTACGAAAATAATATGTTATTTACTATAGGTACTGTACTATTTTCATTAAATTATCATTAATGGTAGGTAGATATTAATATATTATAGGTTAATGTGTAGGTAAGAAGTAAGTTGCGTATAGCGTCTCATTGTCCAAATATACCAATTTCTCACTCTAATGATCACTTTAATGATCTACCGTTGAAAACAGGATTAATAATGATTTCATTTCATTATAATAAATAGACCTAACGTTTTCTACAATGCTTTTAATTTCAGATTTTGAACGAAGCAATAAATGTGTTTGTTTAATAATGTTACATGTACCATTTTATAAAAAATATTTTTGAACTGTCATTATCATATGAACCAATAATAAAAAGGTTTCAATTGTTGATGCTTGAAAGTAATTTTTGGTAGAAAATAAGGTTTATAAGTGCTTTTATTTATTAAGAGGTGGGTTATATGTCAATAAAAAATATCAAGTTCGATCAAATAGCTAGAAATGTTGACATAAGGATAAAAGTACCTCATGAGATGACCAGGAATATCATAAATATATACAATACTACAAAATATATAAAATGTGCACCTTTTTTTAATAGGTTGGGTATCTATAAAATTGAATATTTAAACATTTTTTCTTTTTAAATGTTTACAATATTAATTACCTAAATAAAAATAAGAATTGATAGTCTAATTTATCTATTATAAAATATTAAAGACATTTAGGCCTCATACATCATGAATGTCACTTTTGTTTTTGACCAACACATGAAAAATATTTATAGTTTATTTTTTTGATCTTTGATCGTTTTCTATCATACTCAATTCATGGCTATGTTGTAAGGTTTGGTAAGTTTGATTTATATTTAAGAAGCAAATATTAAAACCAGTATAAATATTTTTGAATTTATGATGAGCTAATGACATTTTATTTAGTTTAGTACAGCATAGTACCATGATATTAATATTTTACTATGAATTATAATATTATATAAAATTATAATTTGTTTAAAACTGAAATAATGTTTATCATAGTTTCAACTAACACAAAACATTTAAAGTGTTGATAGATAGTAACACATATTTCAGCAGATTAGAAAAATACAATAAATAGTAAAAACTAAAAAGCTGGATACTTTATAGATTTTAATTAATATTATAATATTATTCAAAACACATATTTTATTTTTTAATAAAAATAATGAATTAAAAACTTAATAACAAACAAAGTTAAAAAGTCCAAAAAATGTATTTTTAATTAAATGAACAATAAACCACTAAGTAATTCAAACAATAAATACACAATATAGCAAACATTAAAAAGTTTAGGTACAAATCTAAAATAATTTACAAAATAATACAGTTTATTTTTATGATTATATATGTTATATTTATATTATATAATAATCAACTAAAATAGGTAATTTTGGTTAAAATAAAATTGTTTAAGACACATATAATTATGTTATATATTATAATGAATATATGCTTGATTTGACTAAAATGTTTTATACAATGTAAAAAATGTTTTATAAATAATAATTGATTAAAATATCTTAAAAATAAGTAATTATATTGTCCAATAAAAAAAATCAACAAACAACAGTTAGTTATAAAAAAAATCTTAAAAATGTACTAAATGAGTTATAAATCACAGCACAATAACATATAATGTAAATAATAATATAACAGATGAGAATAATAAATAAGGTAACAAAAGCAATAGATACAGTAATAAAATGATATAGATAATAGAGGAAGAATCGGCTATAAGGTTGGATTCCATTCAGTTAAAACATCAGAAATAATATTGGGAAATGGCACTTTATATGAACAATTAAGAAAATCTTATCTTACTAAATTGTATTATTTAATGAATCGACATTCAATCTTGATTTACTTTTAGCTTCTGAATGAACTCCCCAGAGAAATAATTGATTTTTTTCTATCCGGTCAAAGTAGTCGCCATCTCCTTGTTCATCTAAAAAACCAGTTAATGTATTACTACTATTAATTAAAAATATATTTATAATTGTAAACATATTTGTTAGAAAACACAATTTAATCAATATATACTATGAATTTTATTATTTCATTTATTGAATACTTTGTATACTAGTGTTTAAATTGTTGTCGATTTACATCATGAACTAAGATAGATCTTGGTTTATGATTTACATGTACTAAATATTTTTGAAGGAATAAAAATTATTTTCATACAAAACTATCAATATTACAATTAATTAACCAAACAAAGATTATAGTATCAAATAAATATACTGCTATTTGAATACACTGTATACATTTACTGGATGATTCACTAAACATGTTTATTGTGCTGTAAAAGAGAGTAATGGATATTTATTTTTAAACATTTTATCATACTATAATAAATATTTTAAAGAATCAACTCGTATATTATACAGTGTATAGCAGTGGTGCTTTTTTGTTTCTAGTGCCAATATTTGGTTATCAAGCTTTTAAAACAATTTTACATGCCATCAGATAAACATTGGTTAAATGAAAAAAAAATTGTGAAGGAACTGTATATTTACATTTTATAGTTCCTGTACAAGATATAATAGATGTAATTAAAAATGTATATATATTTTTTATATGTAAAATGATAACTAATAAAATATTTGTATACCATTCAAATTTTATGATATTATAATCATGTGATAAAATAAGGTGCAATTTAGCAAGTAGAGGCTTCATAATTTATGCTACTAATGGACTAACTGAAAAAAGGGTCTTCAACAATCCCCATATTTTCATTGAAATTGTGTAACAGAACATATATTATGTCACTGCTAGTAAGTTTCTTTTAGATTCTGAACAGAGCAATAGATGTACTGGTTTTACAACAAAGATATTTTTTGTTTATCATCACTTATTGAGCAGTAACAATTATTCAATTTTAAGTTTTATGAATTTTTTTATGCTGTAGACAATAAAATGGTTTGATTTTAGTATGGGTATTATTTTTTTGTAATTTAAATTAAACAATCATGAATGGCTAAGTAACCATTATCACCAGCCACAAAATTTAACTTTTTTTTTAATTTTGTAGGATTTTGTGAACCTATTTGAAGTTGATATTAATAGAAAAATGATGTATTGAAAATCAATGTCAATGGTATTTTAGAATTTATTTTTATAATAAATATTTTAGAATGCTAAAATAAATTTATTTTGGGTAAATTTTTTTTACAATATTCAGCTTATAATAAATTATTTTTTTATTAAGCAAGAAATAACAAATAAATAAATTTCAACAATGTTTGGTTTTTAACCTATCACTAAACAAACAATAGTGTATTGGTGTGTTTAGATAAGATATAATAGATTATTTTTTTAAAATTCTATTTAAAACAATT